ATAGTAACGGTAATATTTACCGGCCAAACGTTGAAAATACTAGCACATTTTATAATATAAGCGCCTCGATATTTTCAGCATTTCTGAAAAACAAGATATCACCTATATGCTAATTTAAAGCGTAAATCAATGCAGTTCGACAATTTCATAACAATCGTTTGTATTTTAAATAAATGAGCCAAAAAATGCCTAGACACAAAAAAACACTGATTCAAAGAGTAGCGGATGATTACAATAAACATGACTGATGCCGATTACTCTAAACACAACAAGTAACATTAGTCGTTGCACGGTGTTAATAAACACGTTTGATCAAAGTCACTAGTGTCCTTGGTTTTACGACAGATCTATATTCCACCATTGACATGCTTCTGATTATTGTTTCAATAATTCACAAAACACAACAAAATGTCGAACGCTGGTCGTTTTAAACTATCGGGCTAAATCGATTTCCGCTAGTATGACAATGAAAGTGGAAATTTTAATTACGTGCGGTGTGAAACCAACACCTAATTATAAATGCAAATTGGCAACAGTAATCACGCGACGAAGACAGCGCAGTTGAAGATGAGTGTCAATGATGGATGGGCTGTTATGGACGACTAATTAAGTTATTTATAAGCTAATATGTCAGAGACGCATTATGAACATCTCACTACTCGAATGAATATGTAGATATGTTCAATTTTGAATATTATATGAAACTGTCAGAATTATGGAAGGTCTATTATGCCCCATGATCACCATCTCTGGGATGTGACCATGGCCAGTGATCCCACGACAAGTGTAATACATGTACTAGACAATTAGGATAGTCACGAAGACACATATTATATATAATAATATGAATACAATAAATAGATTATTAGGCAATATCCAGATAACAATATGTTAATTTGTTGACTGACTGAATACCTGGCAGACTATTGTTTTGTGGGATTGAACGCCCTCTGTCCCTCTTTTTTACTTATTTCAGTTTGTGCCAGGTGCCTCGCTTAAATATTGGACTTTCAATAGACTGGTTTTACTGTTGGACCCCTCCATTAGCTTATTTCTCTGCACATTTGCATCGAAGGATAAAATGTTCCAGGTTTTCACCTTTTTTCTCAAAACATGAACAAGTGCTGTATTCAGGAGTGATATTTTTAATCCGGCTTTTATCTATTGTTAAATTTGTTATTATATTATTTATGTCCTCTTGCCATGTCCATAATTCAGTTTGTTCGTTTTTGTGACTCGGGTATTTAAATAAATAAATACTACATAGATATATTTTTGTCTTAATTCTTTCATGTTAATTAACCTAAATTAATTTTAATTCCATTGTAAGTTTCTTATCTACTTTTCATTGTGTTCACCCAAGGTCACAAATTATTATTTCTCTGAGCTTTTTGAATAAATTGCCCTACTCTTCTTCGCAATGTTTTTAATTTTTCAAAATGAGAAGTGTTATAATTTCACCATCGTATTCTAGTAACGACCCTGTTAATGTTACCATGGTTTCCTAAGACTGCTTTTATTGTAATTTATCAAATTTGTCAGATACCTTGATAGAGTAGGTATGGACAGGCAGGTTGCATGTAAACCAGTAGCCTGAGTATTTGTATTCAAATGATTCGTTAATCTCTTAATGTTATACCTAGAGTTTAACTCATTTTATAGCTTTTATGCCATCACCAAATAATACCATACTTTCAATATGGTCATATGTAAGTTTTATGACACGCCTTGATTTTTTTCTTATTCCATTTTTCTATAGTGGACACCATAGTCCTTCCTACCAAAACCTGTCATAGGTCATAAGTCTAGGAAGGTAAAATATGTGTATTTTACGACTAACTGCTAAACC